CCCCACCCCCCACCCCCAACCCGCTCATGGGTTTGCGTGGCAGAAGTGTGCTTTCAAAGGCAATCAAAAGTGTGCGTGTGTAAAGATGAGGTAGAAAACGTGTGTGTGTGTAAAGATGAGTTGTCATCTGTGTGCGAATCTGAGTGAGATTTCAGGGGGGGTCTGTGTGCGAATATGAGTTGGATCTGTGTGCGAATATGAGCGGCCTCCCGCATTGCGCACGTAGCAATCCCACCTTTTCAAGTTTGTAGTTTCTCAGAAATCATTGTATACACATATTTCTGATCGGAGGCTGCTCAGGATTCGGCTTCGCAGTTTATTAACGTGCTCCAGTACCATTCGTGCCTTGCAAGCTTGGTGTTCTTGCGACAGCTGCGACAACAGACCCTGTAAGGACCATGTGACACAACTCATCTAACGGTCTCCGAAGTTTTGCAGCCTCCCCAGTCAGAAGTGGCTGTAGCAACACGGAGGCATCTGAGCTGGGCTATATCAAACCGGCTACACAGTGCCATGTCCGGGAATTAAGGATTGAAGACACCATGTTTGGAACAGGATCTCACAGCACACCAAGACAAAGGAGTTAAGTCCAAGAGATGAAAGAACTGGTAAGGGCCCTTACTTTCCTTTCTGCACTCTTGGACTTCTACTTTCATTTTGCGAGGAGTCTCACAAGTCACAGTACGTTTGAAAGCGCCCGTAGGATGATTGTATTCCCAGGGTGGGAACGCACATGCAAAACACTTCTTAGACTTGATGGGGAAGGGCACTGGGCTTCAGCTGTAGTTTGAGAGTTTTTGATGCATAACCAACATTCTGGGCAAAGTATTTCTATATACAATAAACTTGCGACTTGATTGAGGTGTGAAGCGCCAGACTTGCTAAGCAAATGGTGTGCTTCTGAAGGCGCTAGATTCTGGATTGTGGGTGCATTGATGTTTAGCAAGTTAAACGATTATGTAATCGCAATGACTGATGCAACGTTTGTGAACGATGTTTGAATATATTTGAACTTACGGTTTTTTTTTAGAATGCATTTGCATAAGTTGAATGAAGGTTCTATGACATTCTATGGGTGATGTTTACAGAACAAGTATGTAGACCTGTTTGCACCTGTGAGCATTGTGACACCTGTACTATCCTGTACTGCTGTTTGTGTCAAACGCGTTCCAGTTCATGCTTTCCCATGACACTATTCTTTGTGTTGGCTCCGCCCAGTGTCAAAATTTTGATCGAGGCTGTTTGCTTTGATCTACTTTTGAGGAAGACACTGTATTCCTAGAACTTGTGAAGACACCACCGAAAGCAACGGAAGAGGACGCGATACGTTGGCGAGAGTACTTCGATGCTCCAAAAACCAACATTGGCCCACCATCTTGCGAGTGAAAGAAACAAGAGTTTCCTGACACCCGTTTCATCCCCCCTCGTCCGACAAGACAGAGAATAGCCATGTTGGATTGTTTTGGCAATCCAGCATACTAATACTATCAGGGAATGCAAACTGATTGTAGCGCTGCAAAGATTAGACATTGGTGTCGAGTGGACGTCAAAACGTCCTTTTTCACCCAGTGAGACAGTTCTGTCCAGGCATAGAGCATGTTGCTGGGGAGAATGCGCCGTTGGTCTTCTACTCTGGCTTCACTCGTTCCTTTCTAGCTGGTGAACAAGGCACAAGTGCAGAATGGCTGCAGAAGTGCCTGGGACTGCAGAAGGCTGTTGGTTTAAGACTGCAACGGACTGCACTTCGACTACCCAGGATCTTTTGCACAAGTGATAAGGCATGACTAATTGACGCAACTGCTTCTGAATTCCTAGTAGCGTGCTTGCTCCTAGTAGCGATGCCCTTTGTTACTAGTAGCTTTTTGCTACTAGTAGTAATGCCAGGAGCTACTAGTAGCTCCTGGCATTACTACTAGTAGCGTCCTTACTACTCTGCGAATCATGATTGTTGCTGCTTGAAATGGGCGAACCCGGGTTGTTTCTTAAGAATGGGTCCGCAACCAGTCCTGCTCAGGATCCAGCAGAAAGTTGCCGCTATGTCCGAGGGACGCAGAGTTGAAGCTTGTCTAAAGTGGTGTTTGAGTTTGTAGGAGATCCATTCACGGATTGACTCACCTCTGTCCTGTTAAATCCGGTCTTTGTTTAAAGCCTGCTCCCCCTGCCTACTGAATCAAGTAATTAGGTGCGTACTTAATTAAGCAAGGCGACTAGTTCGCTACTAGACTTAGTTAGCTTCTACATATGGACGCAGGATAGCTCACGCTTCTTTCCAGGAAGCTCCCCGCGCCTGAGGGCGGGGGGAGCTTCCTTGAAGAAGCGCTCATTTGCTTCCTATTTTTTTAGGGAAACTTAACAGGGACAGAACAGGATCCACTAACAGATTGGCAGTGATGCGGTTCAAGATAGAACAGGTAGCTCAGCCGCACAACTATCGTCAGGTGAGAAAGGCGCACATGGCCGAGAAGAAACAGCCAACTAAGTCAGTAGGCTGTTGCTGCAGCTAAATTTGAGCAGGAGTGCATAATATATAGGGCTGTTCACTGTTCAACCACGCACAGGAAGTATGAATCTCTTTGTACCACAGCTTGGGAGCGTTCCAGTCGCTGTGTTGCCGCAGTCGCACATGTACAGGGTTACACGATTGATAGTTAGTTCCTCCAAGTTTCCAAATGAGCACCATACTATAAGACTATAAGTCATTCCATGTAATTCCAACACCAGCATGCCCATGATTCCCCATATATCCCTTGGCCCGGCCTGGCCTGCTTAGCTCATCATCGATGGAGTGGGCTTCCCTTCAGTGGGCTCCATTGTCGGGGTGGACAACGCTGACGTGGCCAAAGCAGCCAAGGCACCAGTACTCCTGGTTTGCGCCTCGACAGCGGGTGATGGGCTTTCCTGGTGGCTGAGTGTCAGTTTGTTGAGCTTCCTTCTAAGTGTTCGTCCGAGCTTTGAGAAAGGATCAACATATGCGATGCAACTACTGTAATATCAAATAATTGATCAGAGTGCCCCAATCGGAACACCAATCAGATACCAGTAGACACCAATCGGAAGTTTGGGGAAAGCTTGGAAGACACATGTGCTCAAAGAGCGAAAATGGCAACGCGACTGTCAATGTGGAACTGCTTTGCTCGTGATTCCAGTAGACGTACTGTGTAAATGTTTCAACGTTGAAGAGACGGATATTATGTCAGTTGAAGCTTTCCGCCTACGCCCAGTGCAGGTGTCGGCAAGGGAATGCACAGAGACCTCTTCTTGTTTTTCTCCCTTGTTGATTCCTTTCTTAATCAGTTTGCATCCATTTGCGCTGGCTTTGAAGCGTTGTGTTTCTTGGCCCAGGCAAATCTGGAGTAGGTCCGCTCCTCAGCATTCTTGGCCATGTAGTTGAGCCAGCGGAAAGTTACGTAAAGTGTGGGCCAATAGGAGCAGGCTGAACCTCAACAGTGTCCAAGTACTGCTTTTTTGATTGTTTTGCTGTGTTCGAAGTGCAAACTTTTTCCATCGACGCTATGTCGATTTGATAACAAGTAAACAAAGTCATTACGAAAGAACATGTTTGCAAGAGGTTTATCTTCAGATATCCACAGGTCAAAGGCAATCCAGTAAGTATGCAGTCCGGTGCACCTCAATTTCAATGGCAAAGCGTCAGGCTCTGCTGTCGACAGCTTCAGCCTAAATGCTAGCTACTTTGTGGCCAAAGGGGTGCCAGTGCTGGGTGCTCTTTTCAACCTGGGTGCTACTTGGCAGTGGAGTGCAGACTCTAATTCTGTTACGACTCAACTCTCCCAAGTTCTTGCTAGGTGAACGCATTTGCACAATCCAACAATATAGACAGACGTTTGTACTGGTACTGTAGGTTGAGAGAGCGCGCAACAGAAGTTGATTTGCCAAGGATGCTGATGGCTTCTACTCTTGGGACAAGTGTGCGAAGAGTATAGAGGCATGGTTTTCCCAGCATCTTGGCTCCCTTTCATGCTTATGTTATCCTATGTTCCTTCTATTATTCTTTCTCAGCATGACTGACTGCCAGTAGCTTGATCATGTTGCCACTGTCACGAAAACCAGGGTGCTGACAAGCTGTTGGAACCTCAAGTCAACTCATGCAATAATGTGGACATTTGACTCTGGATGTTGAGATAGAACACGACGTATGTGTTGTGCTCGAGCTTGCCCACCAGCAGCCCCTCAAAAAGTGTTGAAATCATACTATAAGTGGAGAGAAAGTGTTGTTGGTCCGTCAGGCAACGTTTGCCAGAGACATGTTCTTGTCCACCCAGTGGTGTGCCCTTTGCAGAACCACTAAATTGATGAGTATTCTGACAGATGTTAAAACAACTCTGAGGTTTGCATACACGCGTGACAGAAAATAATTCATGGAATAAGCGAAAGTATGGCTGACAGCATGCCATGGAGCTCTTTTTCCCAAATACGCCAAAGCTGCATATCATGTCATGCTGGTTTTGACCCTTGCAGTCTCCATCATTTGAACCCTTCTCGCCATCCTTCCTCGCAATGCAGAGGGACTTGTTTCATGTCCTATTCTTCTCCGACAGAAAACGCTAATAGGGGCTCCTGGCCGTACTACTAGGAACAAGAACACTACTAGCAACAAAGGGCGTCGCTACTAGGAGCAAGGATGGCTCCTGGTGCGTATTGTGTCATCCCTCATTCTGAGGAGTGGGTAGCTGTGGGCCTAAGCAGGTCACAATCTCGACACCCGGATCTTATCCAACAGAGCCAAATGTAGGACGATCCCAACTCCGAGTGCAATACAGTAGTACTGATACACTCTTTATACAGTACGTGTTTGTTTTAGGTGAACATCACTAGCACAGTGTACTGTGCCACAAGGAAAGTGCGGTGAGGCAACTTATGAACCTTATCCATTCTGTCCCATTCGTACATTCTTAAACCATTTCCCTTACTCAAGCAGCCATCGCACATGTGGGGCAAGGTTTGGGTCTTGGGTTTGTGGTGGAGGTTGTGCCAGTCCATCGGTTACCACACTTTTCATGCCAACATCCCATCGCATATCATCATATCATACATTCCATATGAAGAACAGTCACAAAGACCTAACCTGCAATCAAGTCCAACATTGTCCAACTATGACATCCATGACGTGTGCTTGACGCATCTTGAGGCAGTATCCTTGAGACCATTTAGCCCCCCCCCCCTTACTACTAACTTAGTACCCTTACGTACCCTTGGGACAGAGTTCGTTGGGAGCTGTCCAATCTGAGGCAGGATAGGCGGGAGCGCTTCTATGGCGTCGTGCCCAAAGTCCAGGAGTTGGACGGTTTGCGTAGCTTAGCTCGCTATCTATTTAGTGCGGTCGCGCAAAACAACATGCAAAGATGTGTGCGCAATGCACCCAAATTGGACAAGGATCAAACGCAGCACATAACTAAACGCTGGCTAACATCCCTTACAGACCTTGCAGACCTTTCCTTGGATTGAATTTGCACATGTGCTTGACAGCGCAGACAATGCTAGAGATTCGACATGATGCGGCATTGTCATGAGGTGAGAAGATCTCCGAAACAGAGGAGGATGCTTTGGATACTTGGTTGGCTTGTGGGGCCAGGCTGGGGCCTGGTGGTGCTCGTTGTACAATTGTTCTCTCGCTTTGAATGCTGTGATGTGAGACTTTTGGGGTCAGACATTGGTCTTGGAACACTGTGCTGCCATGTGCTGCCATGTGCTGCCTGTTGAACTGATTTTCATTGCTTGTCCGCCTTCAAGCACAGGAACACCCTGTTCGGGAATCATAACTTGTCATGATGTTCTTACTGTACTGCACTCAAATATTCTTGGAGTTTGCTGGGAAGGGTTGTGGTTAGTTATTTTTGTTGTAATTTTGACGACAAAACAATTTTGACTTGTGGAGAGACTCTCCGTGGTGACCCGCCGTTGCCACTTCGCTCCCAATGGCTCACACTCTTTACTAAGCCCTGACCACGCTGCATTACATTGACATGATCAATCGGTATAGACCAAGCCACGTTTAGTTTAATCTGAATGTTCCGTCATGTGCCCAAAGTGCTTTGCAACAGGCATTTCCTAGAGATTTGGTGGAGGCCATTGCTATTAGGTTGGAGGTACTGGTATGGGATGCACAAGTATTCTTGCGCCAACTGTGACCTCTATAAAGTGATCAGGATGTCATGGCCAAGCTAAATGCGGACCATTTTGGGAAACATGCGGTGGCTTTGGCAGCAAAGGCTCCACAAGGGTGGAGCTACTGAGGTGTAGTTGGCTTTTGAAGGTTTTTTAAAGTTTGTTGTGGAGTGAGAAAGTGTTTTTGGTTCTTGACCCTCCCACAAACTGAATCGGATTTCGCGAAACATCTCCAGGCTCTCACTGAAAGGCTGATTGGATGGTTTGCTTTGTGGCGCTGGTTCAGATGATTGAGTTGAGGCAACCCTTAGACGGATGTTTTCACGGCGCTGGCCGTGGATGGTGTTCGGGTCAATTCAATTGTTTGAAACTCATCGTGTTGTTGACCGCTCTAAGGACATTCTTGGCATTTTCACCGATGCAGGAGCAGATCCATGGCTTCTTGTCAGCGCAGTGTCGTTTTGACTCGTTACTGTAGTTGGCAGATCTTCTGATTTTATATACTATGATGTTCTGTATCCAAGAAATAAGGTGTAAGGCTTCAAGGTGTCTGTGCTAGACACCATACCATGAGGGCCTCAATTTTGTTTCATGTGGTCTGAATGTCAGGCATGCAGCTCAAAAGATCGAGCGTTTGCAACCGGTCCATGACATGATCCCTTGGAATACACTGCCACGAAGTGAATGTCCAGCACAAAGGGGACCTGATTGAAGGGGCCAAAAGCTTGCTGCCTTGCGAATAAGGTGCCGCTCACCTGTTCGAGTGCCTGATGGCAAAGCCTCGAGCCTGGCACCTGCCACTTCTGCAAGCTTCAAACCGTCCCTCAGCCATACCAGTCCCGCCTGGAATTGAGATATGGAACTCATGGAGCAATTGTGGAAACCAAATGATGAACCGTAAGACCAAACAAACATGTCAGTTGTTGCTGTTGAATCTCACGCAGCATCGAGTACAGTCTCTTTTGATCTCTTTTGAGTTAATTGAGACTACTACTGAGCATCTTTGGTGAGCTGAGTGCAACTTTGTGGTACACACATGTCAGCGTTCAGTTATATATATATATTTAAGGGCTGCCGCCCCTGCCGCCGACCCCGGATTCTCAGGTCCGGCTTTTCCTCCACTGGTTGGCATTGCGAGGGTTTTTCGAACAGGGGTTTCAGTCGTCCTTTTAAAGGTTGCTCTTCTGGAATCGTCGTTTCTTTCCGGTTCCGTGCCCGTGCGGAGCGTTTCATTGCCTGCTCTCTGGATTGTTTGCTAGCATTTTCCACCACTAACCAGCCTCCCAAAAAGCATCTGAAACCACCCCTTCGCCAC